AAGTGCAGACTGCATGGGTGCTCCCACGAAGAATTTTAAAAGTTGGCCCTTCATCTCTCCTGATCGCTCTCACCCAACGGGAACGTATTTCTTTGTCCACAGGAAAATTGTGAAAACTCAAATACGGTGTTTTTTGTTTGTTATTGGAACAACATGGCACACTGCAATAACAATGTCTCGATGACTGTGCCATACTGGTTAGATGGGCTGCTGCTGAGAAAGATGGACACAAGAAGAAAATAAAAAGATAAATTATTAATCACATCAGAACATGGAAATGGTATGACATATAGTTTTTAATTCAATATTTAAAATGCTATTCTAAACAACAGTGTTGGAAGATGTCAGAGATTTTACATTAATAGATAAAGTAAACATTTTAATGTTACAGCACTGACAGGCAGCAGCAGTGTATATTTTAGCTACCTGTTAGCTGCTAGCTAGCTTACTTTCCAATTGGAGGCTGTTTCCTTACACAGTTACAGAATGGTAAATTGATAATGATGGATAACATTACTGCAGCTAACTAACACATAAATACTGTTTTTATTAACGTTAATATAGCTAGTAAACTTTTAAAAGTTAGAGCACTGACAGCCCGTGTTGTATATTTTAGCTACTGTGGCTAAAGTTGCTGCAATAATGGATAACGTTACCACAGCTAACAAACATATAAATACTGTTTTTATTAACCTTACCTTGCACTATATCTTGTAATATAACCTCTGTAAATAAAGGTTGAAGGAATGAAATTCCATTAAGTTTCCAGACAGTTCTCCCGAGGGAGAATAGACCCGGAAGTAATGATCCACAGCATCGAGTCAAAAAGGAAGTTGTCTGACGTCATTGGGAAAAGGGCCTATGCCAATAAAGTTTATTTTGATTCTGATTTCTCATTTTCTTGGACAGTTGAACTCAAGTACTTGAAGCTCTGCACCTTTATGACCTCTGATCCTTGTGTAAGAGGTACAGGTATGGCTCCACCACTTATCATGCTTAAGGACCAGCCTCTCCAGCAACTTCATGGCATGTGATGTCAAGGCCATGGGTCTGTAGTCACTGTGTGAGTTCATTTACTATTTACTTGAAGGTTTTGCAACGTTTGCTGGTGTAAGCTTAAAAAAATGTGAAAATAGGGATGTGATGTAATAATGTTTGTATCCGTTGCTGACGATGACGTCAGCAGATGTTAACTAAAGTCTGCATGTTCAAGCACATAAAATGTATGTCTATACAAGCCTATAGTAAATATTGATAAGAATACTGGGTGACATGGTGGTGCAGTTGGTAGAGATGCTGCCCCTCAGCAAGAAGATCACGGGATCAAATACCTGCTGGGAGCTCTTTATAGGTGGAGTTTGTATGTTCTCTCCGTGCATGTGTGGGCTTCCTCCAGGTACTCCAGTTTCTAACTGTAAATATATAAACATTTACAGAAGTTTACAATATACTTTTATAAGCACATGATGCAACTGTAACTATAGGCTTTAGGAAACTTCAGTATAAAAATGTTACCTACAAAATTCTGTACAAAACAGTTATTTTTAAACACCAAAGTTCAAGCTCAATATTGTACAAATCCAACAATGTTCAGTCAGGTCATCTGGACGGTTTCTTTTTTCTTTTTTTAATTAATTAATTTACTATGTTTAAATGTAATAATTGATAGAAAAATGCTTTTACAATATTTGAGGTTTATGTATGATGAATGTACATTTTTTTTTTGTTTGTTTTGTTTTTTAGGCGGAACCTTCGTCTGCGTTTTTGTTATTCGGGGGATCGATTTACAAACGGCAACTTCGCCTGCACCGTTTTTGTTCACACAACACACAATGTTGACTGCGCATCTTTAACCTGCTTCATACGGGTGAGAAATCTGTAAATAAATCTCAAATGTTCTTTTATCCACTTGAACTAAGCCAGCGGTAAGTGTTCCCATAGTGGTTTAAGGTAATTTTTACTGGTTTTAATGTGGAAAAACGTTAATAATCCAGAAAGTTAACAGACGTGAAGGCTGTTTTTACACTCAGGACTGAATATTTGAGCATAGGAAAAAGTTAGTAGAGCTCCTGTATACTGTAGATATGTTTCCAAATGATAAGACGTGGGTAATTTGTTGCAGTAATTTCTATTAAAATATTAACATTGACCCGTCCAGGGTGTACCCCGCCCCTCGCACAGTGATTGCTGGACATGGGCACCAGCGACCCCCGTGACCCAAAATGGAATAAACGGGTAAAGAAAATGGATGGATGGATGGATGGATATTAACATTGAGGTGTGTTTTCTAGTAGGGGTGACCCGATTGCAATTTTCTGGCCGATCGCTGATCACTAAAAAGCCTGATTCCGTTTTTGTTTTATAAGCGACACTATCAGGTGTTATAAGGTCACAATGCACATTCAGTTTTCCAGTCTTATTTTATTGAAAAACATATCCTTGAACAATATCCTAGAAACAATACAAACTTGTTTTAACTGGCCATGAGGTAGCACTCTGAAATATAAATGAAGTTTAGACAATTGTTGTTAAAACTACAAAAAAATCAGCAAAATTGTTTTCTCGTGTAAGTATCGGCTGATCGCCGATTACCCAAAATTAAGGAAATCGGTGCCGATTTGTTGGTGCACCCCTATTTTCTAGTCCAGGGGTCTGCAATCTGCGGCTCTGGAGCCACGAGTCTCTTTGGCCCCTCTGCAGCGGCTCTTTCAAGCTTTGACCAAAACTAATATAAAACTGAATTTTATTGGTTGTTATAACAACAACGACAAGGACTCGTTTTAACAGTTTCCCTGTCATTTATTTTGCAAATATGTGAATACTAGAAACATAACAATGAGTAAAACATACTCACTTTCACTTTATGCTTTATTTCTACAAAGTAGGATCCTTAATTTTTCAACAATTACAAAGCATCACATAGTCCTGCATAGTTTATTGTTTTAGTTTTTAGAAACTTTGCAAAATCTAAGTTATTATTTCCTTTTTCACAATAATTTCATATTTTATTCTGTCTTAAAATGTAAAAATATCAATAAATATTAAAAATCGTTACCCGTAGATTTTTTTTTTTTTTATAAAGTCACCCCTAATGGCCAGAAAAGTGTCCTCCAACAAACTTAAAGTGGTCTGCTATGAGGTTTCATTAGTGCCAAAAACATGTTTATGTGTCTATGTAAAGTGTGTAAGGTGATATGTTAAGTGATATGTTTAGCGCAAATGTTAAGTAATATGTTAGATGCATATGTAAGTGATATGTTAAGTGATATCACATACCATATCACCTACATATCACTTTTGTGGACATATTTGTTGAGGTTTATTTAGCCAAAGTTGGTGGCAATCAACAAGAAGCAATCTAAAAGGGAACCACATGTAACATGTCTTTACATTTTGATTCACAGCATCATTAAAATGTTTCATACTTAGATCTAAATGTTTATACACTGCCTGGCCAAAAAAAGTCACCACCTGGATTTAACTAAGCAAATAGGTCTGAGTCTCCTATTGGATAATTACTGCATGGGCGATTATCTTTCAGCTGGCAACAAGTTATTTAACTTTTTAATTTATATTGGAGATATAAAGAGAGACAGCAATGGGCATGCTCCAACTGCCTACTTCATATATTGTATGAACACAGCGCCCCCAGAGGTGAACCAGAGCACTACACTGCTTCACCCTAAGCACTTTGATAACAGTTTATCTGTTTTAAATTGTGCTCTACAAATAAAGATGACTTGACTTGACTTGACCCTGCATTGTTTGAACAGGCAATGCGTAAAGTCTGCGATTTTGATCATTGAAGTGTTGAAATAATTCAGAAAACCATTTTATAAAACACTTTTATAGAACAGTCAAGTGGTTAAATGTATTTTCTCTTATCATTGTTAATATTTTAGTTGTCATGATGACAGGTGAGACAATGCTTCACCTGCCTCCTCTGACTGCACGTCACTGGACCAAAACCAACATAAACCTGATTTGTATTGGTTGTTATGCCAAAAACTACAAAAAGGGCTAATTTTAGCAGCATTTTTATTGTCATTTCTTTTGCAAATATGTGAATACTTGAGTAGCAGATTTTATGGCTCCAGACAAACTTAATTTAGTGAACAGAGAGGATGAAACGGCTCAGTTGATCGTAAAGCTCGCTGACCCCTGCCCCAGGGCCTTGGAGGAGGTGTGTGCTTTCCACGTGCTATGATTGTCTAGTAGTTACTGTTTATTAAGGTTGTTTTGTTGATCTTAATCTTTATTTAACTTGACTTTTTTCCCATTTTTACTTTCTGAAGGAGTTGTGGTGTGGTATCATAGTGCATTATTATTGTGGTAAATGCTGGTGTACATAGGTCAGTGCTCGGACTCATACCTTCACTGTCTGCTCCATAGGTGTCAGATCTGTTCCTGTTCGAGAACTACAGACCAACAGACACTTGAAACTGATATTGGGGCTTAATTATTAGTTCCATTTATCAATTCAGGTGGTGCTCTGTATGATATAAATTTATATAATATCTTCTGTTAATACTCAATTATTGTCTTTAGGCAGGGTAATATTTACTAAAAACTAAGCTAGCTCCTTGGTGAGGCCTTATAATATCTCCATTAAAAGTGAGTGATCCCAGTAGTTTTTTTTAATTATTATTTTTTTAATTTACCCTTTATTTATACAGGTAGTCTCATTGAGTCACGAGAACTCATTTTCAAGAGAGACCGGTTTGGGAGCAGATGGTGGAGGTTAAGGGCCTTGCTTAAGGGCCCAGAGTGGGGCAAATGAGGGTGGAGGCAGGTCACAGGTGTGGGTGTTTCACCTTTTCCACCCACATTTTGATCTTGTCAGTCTGAGGAGTTGAACCTTCGACTTTCCGATCACAGGCCCATCTTCTCTAACCTCTGCGCCACCACTCCCTGTAACACAACGCAAGTGATGTATGTGTGGATGTAAAGGTAACATTGTCCTTAATGTACATGTGTTTCAGTGGTTCCTGCACGTGTTCAACAGATGGTGCTGATTAAAGAAGAAGCTCCTGAAGAATGGAGGCCTGGTGTGGACCAGACAGACCCAGAACCCCTCGACATAAAAGAGGAAGAGGAGGAACCTTGGACCACTCTGAACGTAAAACAACTCAATGCAAAGGAGGAGACTGATGACACCAGCTTTTCAGTTACTTTAGCATCTTTGAAGAGTGAAGATGATGAGGAGAAGCCTCTGTTCTCACAGCTTCATCAGTACCAAGTAGACGACTGTGACCTACTAGCCAGCAGCTCAGCTGGTCAGATGGAAGCAGCAGCCGATGGAGAGGACTGTGAAGGAACACAAACTAGCAGGAACACAGATGTAAATACTCACAAAGACAGTTCCAGCTCCGCAGAGACTGAACTCAGTGAGGAGTATGAAGAAGACGAGGATGTAAACAATCCTGACTCTCAGCTGAAGAACTTGTCAGACTCTGGGTCAGAAAATGAAGACAGTGACAAAGAGTGGAAGGAGATCATGGCTCCAGAGTCAGATGTAAACAATGTCAACAAATATTTGAAATGCTCTGAGTGTGGTAAGCAGTATGTCAACCACCCGTCTCTTCAGAGACACATGACATGTCATCCAGGATTAAGGTCTTCAAGCTGTTGGGATAATATGAAACGCGTTGGAGTGAAGAACGCTTTAGAGTCACACAGGATGGTTCAGACAAAACTAAACTCACCATTTTCTTGTGATGTTTGTAGGCAAATCTTTAGTCGCAAATCCTATTTACAAACACACATAAGAAAACACTCAGGAGACAAACCATTTCCTTGTGATGTTTGTGGACAAAGATTAAGCTGCAAGTCATCATTAAGCATACACATGAGAGTTCACACAGGAGCTAAACCGTTTTCTTGTGATGTTTGTGGACAAAGATTTAGGCATAAGACATCTTTAACCCCCCACATGAGAATCCACACAGGAAACAAGCTGTTTTCTTGTGACGTTTGTGGACAAAGATTAAGCTGCAAGTCAACATTAAACATACACATGAGAGTCCACACAGGTGATAAACTATTTCCTTGTGATGTTTGTGGACAAAGATTTAATTATAAGTCATCTTTAAACATACACAAAAGAGTCCACACAGGAGACAAACCATTTCCTTGTGATATTTGTGGACAAAGATTCAGCCATAAGTCATCTTTAAACTCCCACTTGAGAGTCCACACAGGAGATAAACCATTTCCCTGTGAAGTTTGTGGACAAAGGTTTAGAAGTAAGACGAATTTAAATACACACTTGAGAATACACACTGGGGACAAACCGTTTCCATGTGATGTTTGTGGGCAAAGGTTTAGCCGTAAGACGTCTTTACATACACACATGAGACTCCACACTGGAGACAAACCATTTCCTTGTGATATTTGTGGACAAAGGTTTAGCCGTAAGGCATCTTTATATACACACACAAGAGTCCACACAGGAGAAAAAACAGTTTTATTGTAAGTAGAGCAACACCGTCTGATATATCAGTAGGGCTGATAATTTTGGCTGATATAGAAGTTTGGGGACCTATTGGTGATAATGGTCCCATTATGCACAGATATATGCACTTATAATTTTCACCCCCAAAATGCTGGGAACCAGCCATAATTGTACAATGTATCCAGCAGAGGGAGCATAAAGACTACTTTCAAGTCATTGCCGTCCACTTAAGTTTCACTTTCATATTCAGCACAGACGAATGGTAAAATTAATTGAACTGATCTGTAAAATAAATCCATCCATCCATTATCTTTTACCCACTTCTTCCATTTTGGGTTACGGGGGTCTCCGGTGCCCATGTCCAGCAATCACTGTGCGAGGGGCGGGGTACACCCTGGACGAGTCTCCAGTCCATCACAGGGACACATAGAGACAAACAAGACAAACAACCATTCACTCTCTCGCTCACACCTAGGGACAATTTAAAGTTGCCAATCAGCCTAACATGCATGTTTTTGGGCTGTGGGAAAAAACCAGAGTAACTGGAAAATCCACACATTCATGGAGAGAACATGAAAACTCCACCCAGAAAGACCCCCGGACCGGGATTTGAACCGGCAGTCTTCTCACTGAGAGACAGCAGCTCTATCAGTTGCGCCACTGTGCTGCCCGCAAAATAAATCAACAATAATAAATTCTCTTCAATCCTCCAACCTGCTTGTAATTAGCTATGCGCCTCTCAAGTTAGCAAGCTAACGTTAGAGTTCAGTTGTACCACCTTCATGACATTAGCCCCACTGTCAATAGTTACAGCAACAGTTCTGTTAGATTGTGCTTCCAGTTTGTTAGGACATCCAGTGTTAGTAACGTTATCTTTGTTGTCCTCAATGAAATGTATTGTTTGTATGAAATTTTTCTTTCTCTACAAAGAAAAATAAACGCTGCTGCTACGGTCAGTACTCATTAAGCCTTTAATTAATTTAAATTAATTTAATCATATTTGACTGTGTAAACAATGATTAGGGAAGGGTATTTCTTTGTTCAATATATATTTTGTAACACACTTGATAACTTTATGGTGGTGAATTACAGAAAATGTGAATGCACGTTAAGAATAGTGTTATTATGACCAGTGCACCACTTGTAAACCTAGAGTGGGTCTAGTTATAGCATGGATCTGATTAGCTTAGCTTCATGGTTGCTAACAGCCGCACTAAATAAACAAGCCCTGCTCCACTCGCTGTTTTCTTAGATTCTTGGTGGACAAAGCAAAAAAAATTTCTGTCATTATATCGGCTATCGGCGGTCACTTGCCATTCCCGATATTGGTATCGACGATAGCCAAAATTTCATTATCAGTCGGGCTCAAATTGTAAGTATTAAAACCACTTCTAGAGACACACAAGAGGTCACACAGAACTATATGTTCAGTTTTTAAGGTTCGTTGGTAACTAGCTGTTAGGCAAAAGTTTTGTTTATGGTGTATGATTTTTTATTTTATTTTGGCCAGTGGTTTTTAGTTTATGCACTTGTTTGTGATTTTTTTTCCCCTGTTGTATTTTACTTTAGAATTCTCATTTTGTTGTCAAAAACTCAACATAAGTACATCACTGACCTCTTAAGTTGTATAGCCAGTAGTTTCAGCTTTTATCTGAATTATTTCAAACTGAAAGTTTTACCATTTTGCTGCCTGATAATAAATGTTGGAATCTTTTACAATGAGATTTTTATCAGTATAGATATTTTAAATGTGTTTCTTTTCATACAAGTAATGACTTGGATGTTTTTACGTGTACTTTCTTTATTAATTGTTTTAAAACATGTTTCATTGAGAGTTGTAAGTCCTAGACTTCCATGAATATTTTTAAATGTTTTAATGTTTATCTAACTGCAAAATAAACATGTTTTTGTTTGTCCAACTGGTCATCAAACTCTTAAAAGACTTTTTTGTTATGTCTATGCTTTTTCAAAAACCAAATAATACAGTTTCAGTAGTTTTAAGACCATGCATTATTGATTTAATTTCTATATACTGTAAGCACAGTGCATTTTATTCTTAAAATACTGTATCAGATCTATCTGAAACTTGAGTGTTATTGAGGAATGAATACAGGTGCATCCCAAAAAATAAGAATATTGTGAAAAAAGTTGAATTTTTTTTTGTCTTATTTCACAAAGTGGAACTCATATATTTCATAGATTCATTACTACACAGGGTGAAATATTTCAGGCTTTTATTTCTTGTAACTTTGGTGTTCATGGGTTACAGATACTGACAACCCAAAACAGTGTCTCCGAAAAATGTATCAATTCCACAGCCAGCTTTTGGTTCCCGGTGTGGACAAGTACAGAGTCCTGCTGGAAAATGAATCAGCATCTCCATAAAGCTCATCAGCAGAAAGAAGCATGAAGTCTCTAAGATGTCCTGGTAGATGCTGTGTGGACTGTGGACTTCAGAAAGCCCAGTGGACCAACACCAGCAGAGGACATGGACCCAAACCATCACTGACTAGAAACTTCACACTGGACTTCAAGCAACATGGATTCTGGGCCTCTCCTCTCTTCCTCCAGACTCTGAGAACTTGATTCACATGACATGAAAATTTACCTTCATGTGAAAAGAGGACATTGGACCACTGAGCAACAGTCCAGTTCTTTGTCTCCTCAGCAGGTAAGATGCTTCTGACGTCTCTGGTTCAGGAGTGGCTGGATTTGAGGAACGAGACATTTGTAGCTCATGTCCAGGAGTAATTCAGCTGATAAGAGTGTGACACCAGGAGTTTACAATTTATACAGGCTAGTCTCATTAAGCCACAAGGATTAATTTAAAAGAGAGACATATTTTAAACAACACAGATGAGGTACAAACAACAATAGACAATCATATAAAAACATAAAATGAATACTTAAATTAACAGCACTGAATCCCTTCACAATATTCAAATTTTCTGAGACACTGAATTTTGGTTTTTCGTTATTTGTAAGCCATAATTATCAACATTACGAGAAATAAAGGCTTGAAATATTTTACTGTATGTGTAATGAATCTATATAAGAGCTTCACTCGCTGAAATGATTGACTTTTTTCACAATATTCACATTTTTTGAGGTGCACATGTACAGCAGTCAAATAACTGGTAAGTAGAAATTTCTAGTTTTCTTGCCTGAAGGTGGTGATTTAAGGAAGAGGAGATTTTCAAAATGTCTAAATATATATATATATTTAATTGTTAAACTAATATAAATATTGTGATGCTAGTTTCTAGTCATATTAACCAACCTTGTAATAAATGTTGTGTAGACTGTAAAAATATTTGTACCTATTCTTTGCATATCAAATTACCCTTCAGGGCAAAAGTTTACATTTACCAGTTGTTTTTAGTTACAGTTTGTATGTGGACATGTTTCTAATTTCTCATCTTTTCATAGAATTCACAATTTGTTGTTAAAATCCTGTTTCAAAATCAGTAACAGATTTGCATCAGTATGAAGACATTTTTACCATACCATACCATACCATTTTATTTATAGAGCACTTAAAACAGCGACAAGACCAACCAAAGTGCTGTACAGACAGAACAACAGGTAACATAGAAAGCAATATACAAAATGAAGTAAATCAGAATATAGACATAAAAACGATGCAGATAATGACGACTAACCAGTGTGGAGCATACAGGTTCAAAACACAGATCATCTGGTGTTGAATGCTACTGAATAGTAGTGGGTTTTTAAACAGGACTTGAAAACCGAGAGGGAGGGGGCCTGTCTGACAAGCAGCGGTAATTCGTTCCAAAGTCTTGGTCCTGCTACAGAGAAGGCCCGGTCACCTCTGCGCTTAAGACGAGTTTCTGGAACTGTGAGGAGCAACTGGTCCGCTGACCCCAGGGGGCGTGTTGGGACATACAGCTGTAGCAGATCAGAGAGATGGGGGGGCGACACTGTTCAGCGATTTGTAGTCATACAGTAGTATTTTGAACTGGATTTGAAGGTGAACCGGTAGCCAGTGCAGTGAGGCCAAAACTAGTGTAATGTGCTCTCTTTTGCCTGTACT